AAACTACAGAAATTCAAAGGATCCTCAGGGAGTACTTTGAAAAGCTTTATGCCACGGAACATCAAAAGCTCGAGGAAATGGATAAATTCCTAGACTCCTACAGACTCCCAAGGCTGAACCAAGAAGACCTGGAATACCTGAACAAACCTATCACCATCAAGGAAATTGAAATGGTAATAAAAAGTCTCCCCAAGCACAAAAGCCCTGGCCCGGATGGATTCACCAGTGAATTCTTCCAAATCTTTAAAGAAGACTTACTCCCAATCCTCTTTAAGCTTTTCCATGAAATTGAAATATCAAATACACTTCCGAACAGTTTCTATGAAGCAAATATCACACTGATACCAAAAGCAGACAGAGATAACACAAAGAAAGAGAACTATAGGCCGATATCCCTGATGAACACAGATGCAAAGATCCTCAACAAACTACTAGCAAATAGAATCCAACTACTCATCAAAAAGATCATACACCATGACCAAGTAGGATTCATCCCAGGGATGCAAGGATGGTTTAACATTCGGAAATCAATCAACATAATCCATCATATCAACAAAAGAAAAGATAAAAAGCATATGATCATATCAATAGATGCAGAGAAAGCATTTGACAAGATCCAGCACCCCTTTATGATGAAAACCCTAGCCAACATAGGTATAGAGGGGACTTTCCTCAGCATAGTTAAAGCCATCTACCACAAGCCTACAGCAAGATCGTCCTCAATGGCGAAAAACTGAGAGCCTTCCCTCTAAGATCTGGGACGAGACAAGGATGCCCACTCTCTCCACTGCTGTTCAATATAGTACTGGAAGTACTTGCAACAGCAATTAGGCAAGAAAAAGATATTAAGGGCATTCAGGTAGGAAAGGAAGAAATCAAGCTCTCACTATTCGCAGATGATATGATACTATACTTAGAGAACCCAATAACCTCCACCAAAAAACTCCTAGAAACAATAGACTTGTGTAGTAAAGTTGCAGGCTATAAAATCAATACCCAAAAGTCCATGGCTTTCCTATACGCAAACAGGGAGAGAGAGGAAAGCTATATGAAAAAATCAATCCCGTTCACAATTGTGCCCCAGAAAATCAAGTACCTAGGAATCAGCTTAACTAAGGAAGTAAAGGACCTGTACAAAGAAAACTACAAAACGCTACTTCAGGAAATAAAAGAGGACATGAGGAAATGGAAAGACATCCCCTGCTCATGGGTCGGGAGACTTAACATTGTCAAAATGGCAATACTACCGAAAGCACTGTATAAATTCAATGCAATTCCTATAAGGATACCCATGACATTCCTCAAAGAAATGGAGCAAACACTCCTGAAATTTATATGGAACAATAAGCCCCCACGAATAGCTAAAGCAATTCTTGGGAAAAAGAAAATGGGAGGAATCAACCTCCCTAACTTCAAACTTTACTACAAAGCGGTAATAATCAAAACAGCATGGTACTGGAACAAAGGCAGAACTGCAGACCAATGGAACAGAGTTAAATACACTGACATCTCCCCTCAATCATATGATCATCTAATCTTTGATAAAGGTGCAAGAAATGTGAAGTGGAGTAAGGAAAGCCTCTTTAACAAATTGTGCTGGCATCACTGGACGGCTACATGCAAAAAAATGGGCTCATAACTCTGCCTAACACCATGTACAAAGGTAAGATCAAAATGGATTAAAGACCTCAACATCAGACCAGAAACCATAAGGTACTTTGAAGACAAAGTTGGCAAAACCCTCCATGACATTGAGGCTAATGGTATGTTCAAAGATGACACGCCACTGGCTGAGCAAGTGAAAACAGAGATAGATAAATGGGACTATCTTAAACTAAGAAGCTTCTGTACCTCCAAAGAAACAGTGACCAAAATACAAAGACAGTCTACAGAATGGGAAAGAATATTCGCCGAATACACATCTGACAAGGGGTTGATATCAAGGATATACAAAATACTGGTTGAACTCCACAAGAAGAAAACATCCAACCCCATCGAAAAATGGGGCAATGAAATGAACAGAAACTTTCTCAAAGAAGAAATACGAATGGCAAAAAAGTACATGAGAAAATGCTCTACATCATTAATCATCAGGGAGATGCAGATCAAAACCACAATGAGATACCATCTCACACCTCAGAGACTGGCCCACATTCAAAAGAACAAAAGCAACCGATGCTGGCGCGGATGTGGTGAGAAAGGGACACTCCTTCACTGTTGGTGGGAATGCCGACTGGTTTAGCCCTTTTGGAAAACAGTATGGATGTTCCTCAAAAAATTAGAAATTGAGCTCCCATTTGACCCAGCGATACCACTCCTGGGAATATATCCCAGAGAGGCAAAAATGTGTAGCCGAAGTGACATCTGCAGTTGTTTGTTCATTGCAGCACTCTTTACAGTAGCCAGAAACTGGAAGAGACCTGAGTGCCCAAGAACAGATGACTGGTTAAAGAAACTTTGGTATGTCTACACAATGGAGTACTATGTAGCTGTTAGAAAAGATGAAGTCATGAACTTTACATACAAGTGGTACAATATGGAAAGTATCATGCTAAGCGAAATGAGTCAGAAAGAGAGGGATAGACATAGAAAGATTGCATTCATCTGGGGATATAAAATAACAAAATATGAGATTAATACCCAAGAATAGCTGAGATCAACACCAGGAGGATTACTCCATAGCTTAGAGGCCAGCCGGGTATTCTAGAGGAAAGGACAGTTCAGATAGAAAAGGGAACACCAAATGGAGGGTGTTTGGAGGATCCTCCCAGGAGGGGAGATGCAGGTTGAAAGTAGACTGGACTGAACATGTTCGCCACTCAATGCCTCTTTTGCTGATCACAACACCTAAAAGGAGAGAGAGAACAAAAGGGAATGCCCTGCCACAGTGGTGGGGGGGATGGGGGGATGGGGAGGAGGGATATTATCCTGGTGGTGGAAAATGGGCACTGGTGGAGGGATGGGTATTTGATCATGGTATGACCGAAATCCAAGCACAAAAATTTGTAAATCTACAACTGTACCTCATGGTGTTTCACTAATAATAAAAAAAAAAACATTTTGTAACACTCCTTGTCTAAATTTTCTCCCCATGGGATTAGTAATTTTTATTTGTTTTTTTTAACCAGTTCAAAAACAGTTTTATGAATTTCTTATGTACTCATCACTGTCTCACTTACAAAGCAAATAAGAATATATAGTCCTTATTTTTTCTCAACTACTCTGAACTTTAACAATATGACCTAGAGATGTTTTCATAACCATAATTTCATAACAGCTATTTTCCCCTCTTTTCTATTTTTGACTGCATAGTGTTTAGCATAGTTTATGTAGTGTTAGCATAGTTATGTAATTGGTTCCTTATGAATCGACATTTAGGTTCTTTCTAGTCTTTCCTGGTTACAAGAAATGCTTTTATACATGTGTCACTCTGCCATGTGTATATCTAAAAGTATATAAAATTAAATATGGTAATGCATATTTGTAGGCTTTATAGATATTAGTTTATGATTTCTGACAGAGAGGTTCTGGATAACCATGTACAGTGTTAGGCCAAGGAAGCAGGTTTTCTCTTTCTCTTCTAGACCTACATAAGGAGTTCTGTGGTACAAAAAGCTCTATTTGTGTAATACAGAAAATCTCAGACAGACCCAAGTTTGAACACAGCATTCTTAGGCATGTAGTTTAACTTCTCTGATCTTTTTTTCCCCTCATCAATAAAAAAGACCTTAATAATGTCTACCTTACTTAGTAGTAGTATAGTTGTTAATGGGAGTTAAATATGGTTGTGAAAGATGTTCTTTTGCCTAGAAACTATTACTCTTGAAAAAAGGAGGCCCTGATTTCATTCATCTCTGTTTCTATATCCATATCACAATGTTTGGCATATAAATGGCATTCAATAAATATATATTGGATAGTTAATGAATAAACACATTTAACTAATTATTCCTGACAACTCATTTTTCTACCACTTCTCTAATTTTTTTCATTCCTATACCCTTTTCTCTTTCCAAACTGTAACAACTCATTCTCATTATATTCTTGGCCTCTATTTTCCCCATTTTAGCCACCAGTCTCACTAAACAATAACCCAAAACAAAACCTACTACCTTTATTATGGTTGTTTATTATTTTTTTTAATTTGTGCCTCTTTTTAAAACAAATTTATTTTAATTTAGTCATTGTGAGATTACAGTTATTCATGATTGGGTTTCAGGCATACATTATTTCAACACCAATCTCTTCGCAAGTGCACACTTCCCGCCACCAATTCCCCCAACCCCTACCCTGCCGATCCCCCCCCCCCACACACACACACATATTTACCTCTCACCTACCAGTCTGCCTCTACAAGGCGCACCTTTTAAAAAAATATATAAGTTTTTTCACTGTGGTTTACAGTACTGTTGCTAACAGAGTTCCATACTTCAACATGGTTGTATTTTATCACCTCTGCCAAAAGAACCAAATAAAACACTGTGGGATTTCATAATTAGGTATATAATTTCTACATTCTTAGGATATTGCTTCTGGAGGCTAAAGTGGTAGGACAGTGGATAGGGCACTTGGATGGCACATAAGCTGAGCCAGGTTTGATGCCAGGCATGCCATATGGTTCCCCAATTCCCACCAGGAATGATTCCTGAATACAGAGCTAAAAGTTACACCTGTGCATCACTGGGTGTGGACCCAAAGCAAAAACAAAGAAAAGGAGATATTTCTTCTGCATTAATGCTAAAAGTAAAAGAAAACACTCTAGTAGCCAAGCTAATAGAGAAGTACTGGTATTTCTATCTTGAGACAAGAATCAGCGTGACCTTTGACTTTTCTGAACAAATGCTGAGTGAGCTCATTAGATTTCATAGTTAATGTATTTCAGGTTTCTGCTCACTCAGCCCATGCCAGTATAATAATTATTTTAAAGTAGAGAAAGCTACTAACCAAGTCAATTTTAAACTCTTTGGTTCCTTTAAATGTGCTTTTCTTTTTATTCACAGAACAATACCATCAAGACCTCAAGATATAATTTCTTTAACTTCTTGCCCCTGAACCTATTTGAACAGTTCCAGAGAATTGCAAATGCATATTTTCTCGTATTGCTGATCCTACAGGTATTTCTTTGGTGTGTCTTTTCCAGAGTATAGTAATTACCTGATCGGGAAGGGTAATCAGTCCTTCCCCGCCCCCCAAACTAAGAAAGGTCTTTTCTCCTTAGAAAATAGGAAAATGGATGACTGGAGTCTCAGCCAATCCTCGGGTGTAGCTATGGTCCTTCCTTGTCAGGATAAAACAACCCTTCTCTAAGAGGAGGAAGACAAGGTCACCAAATCTCAAGGAGGAAAGCTACCTCATCATGGCTGTTGTTAAAATTCAGCTTGAACAGTAGATCACAGAGTCTTTACCCCAACCACAGATGCATCCCTATTCCTCCTGGTCTCAACCTTCCTGGTAAAAATTAATATGCAGGAGTTCTGAGGAAGGAGAATAGCTTAGAGTAAGAGACAAGGTGGTAGTCCCAAATTGGAATAGAGGTACCAGATTATCTCATTTTACCTCATGCTGAAGTAGTATAAGAAGCTATGTGGTTTTCCTCTGTCTAACCACACAACCCTTCACCCCCACCATAGCACCTTCATTATCAGAGGAGAAATGGCCCAATGCCCTAAGACAAATTTAGCAGAGTTCTAGATAGATAGGTGGAAACTTAAAGCTTCCCCCTTGATTCTTGAGAAGTGTTTGTTCATTTGAGGAGCAAACAAATGAGATGAAGGCTACAATAGTGGAATATATCTAGGACAGTTGGATTTCTTAGGAATCTATAAAGGTAGAAGTGGTGGTGAAGGTTGGGGCTATAAGGAAAATATATTGGGAGGAAATCTATTGTCCTGCAAGAAAATACTTTGTCCCTTATACTTTCTGACTCAACTTTTTCTACCCTTTCCCTCTCACAGTTGATTCCCCAGATCTCCTCTTTGGCATGGTATACAACTGTGATACCCTTAATGGTGGTGCTAATCATAACAGCAGTGAAAGATGCCAGCGACGATGTGGTGAAATGACTTCCTGGGTCTTTAATTTCTCACTGTATCTAGTCAGGATATTGGGCAAGAAAGACTTCCACAAACTACCTAGTGTCAGGAAAAAGAATAAGAGATGTGCTTCCATTTTTTTTTTGCTTTCCTTGTTTATCCCTGAAGACTGTCATTCCTTTTAGGCTCACGATTGGTGATCTATCCATGGCCAGAAAGGGGTGATGCAAGGCCATTATCTTTCCCCACCACCATTTTTTTGAGCTCTTTGTCCAGATTTTCTTCCTTTTTCTAAGACTAATGTTCCCAAGACTAATCCTTTTTAATAATTCACTTCTCCCTTCATTCCCCTATTAGCTTTTTTTGTTGTGTTTGCTCTCATTCTTTCCACATTACCTCCTTTTCCCATTTTAATATTCTTCTTCCTTTCTTTCCTGTCTCCTCTTTATCCTATATTCAGTTCTATTAGGTATGCTCAATTCGGTACCCTCTGGTTTTAGAATATAAACATAGTAAAAGCTGAGTCCTTTCCTGGCCTTGGAAGGAGAAACTGGTTCCCAGTGAGTGTTGCATAGCCTCCTCTTTGCCCCTTTTATTTGGTGCTCCCTTCTCTATCTGAGCTGCCTTCTCCCCTAGCATGTGTGGCTGACCTCCAAGCCATGGAGAAAAATTCCTGGTACTAATCTCGGCCTTTCTGGGTGTTAGTCTCCTATTTTGTTACTTTATGTTCCCCAGATGAATGCAATCTTTCTATGTCTATTCCTCTGCCTCTTCTCCAATTGTCTTTAACAGGAGCCCAAACCTTGCCAATTCAAGATTACTTGCTAACAGTTTAGAATTCGGTTCCTTTTTCTAAATGGAAGTACTAGTTTTTATTTTAATTTATTTGGACACTGACCTCAGTGCTGTTAATATAGAGTTTCAGGCATAATAATGGAGTTTCAGGCCAACTCCAAACCAACCACCAATGTCAGTGTCCTTCCACCAGTGTTCCCCCATACCTCCTTAGCAAACTCAGTATCTTCATTTATTATAGTTTGAATGACATATTTACAATAGTATTAATTCTTACAGTTTTGAAGTACACAGTTTTTGTCTCTATACCACCAAAGTGCCCAAGACCCTTACCATCAATTTGCCTCCACTTTCTCCCTTTTGCATAAATATTCTGACAAAGACAGGATTTATTCTGTTCCCTTCCCAGTCCCACCCTGTTCCCAGGGAGTAATTATAACCAGAAGAGTGAATTCGTGTGAGTTCTAAGATTAGAACATCCCCTGTATTTATTTGTCTTTCTCCAACTTGGTCTTAGAATAGAATTCCTGTATTCCTGTTTTCCTTTTGCCCCTCCTATAAAAGATTTTTTTAATGACCACTACATTGGTGGGGGGTTGATAGTATGGTCAAGAATATTTTGCTGTCCCTGTAGCTATCAAGGTATATATAATTCTAGTCTTTCCCATCATTTTGTACTCTTTCCTCTGTGGCTTTAGAAATAACTTTCTTGTTTTCATTCCCCTGGGTTTTGACTTTTAGTACCTAAAGCTAAGATTTAGACTCTTCTTCCTGTTTTGAGGTTGGTAAGGGGGGGGGGGGGGCGGGGGGCATGTTTGTTTTGTTTTCTTTTCTTTTTCTGATCTTCTCCAGCTTTTTAGAGATAATGAGGCTTTTGGTATTTTCTCCCTGCCACACAATTTTATTTTAGGTTCCATGATTTACAGTACTGTTAATGGTAGGGTTTTATGCCTAAAATGTTCCTGCACCACACTATCCACCAGAGTGTCTACATCGGGCAGGGAGAGGGTAGAGAGTGAAAAGGAAAAATTTTAAAAAGGGGAAACAGCTTTGGGTATTATTTCAAAGTGTTGACTTCTTCAGCCATTTTCTCAGTGCATGATCCTGTCTATTTTCTTGTGTAATTTTAGAAAAGGCACAAAAATGACAAGCAAATCAACAACCGTTCTGTTCAGGTTTTGATGAATGGCAAGTAAGTCCTACAGAGACGGGTTTAGGAAGGACTGACTCTGGGAAAAGATTCGTCTTGTTAAATCATTGGTGTGCTGGGTGTTTGGGAAGATAAAAAGTACAGTGATAAAAACCTTTGGTTGGACATATAAATTATTTGTTTCTAGATCTAACCATACCCCAAACATACCATGTGTCCTCAGACTCTCTGCACTTTATAATTCTCACCAAATGGAGATACTATTCTCTACCTAACAATGACTTGTGAAAATTAAAGTGAAACAATATATCAAAGTGGTTAATAGCTTACATATGCAAGTGATTTTTATTAATGTACTGGCCAGCATGAAGAACTCTATCTCTAGAATGGATTTAATGGATTTAATGGATTCTAACATGGCTTTTTGGCCTTTCTATTGTCACCTTTATTCAGATCATCTTTCTTTTGTTTTCCTTTGGTGAACATGTAAAAAGATTTATTTATATAGCAAAAGAATATGAAGCAAGTCAAATTAATGGATAAATTGGTAAATTAAACCATGGTACATCATACAGCAGAATAGTAACAGTACTCAGCAGTTAAAATATGCAACCTGAAGATACTTCATCTCTTCTCCCTCCGGTGGGCTAATTTAAGAATAAATTAAATTTAAGTCACTAATTATTAAATTGGTACTCTCCTTCCCATTACAAGGTCTAGAAAAGTTTCAAAACATGCTTGCTATATTAGATTTTAGTCCCATCTTTTGCCTGGCTCCTTAATTTTTAATTGATATGTCACAATTTACAATAGCATTGACATTAATATCATAGGCATACAGTGTTACTGTACATACCACCAGAATGACAAAATCCCACCCTCAACCACAGTCTGTAGGTCCTTTCTCATACATTCCCATACCCTGTCCCCCAGTTCCGACTATAACACCACTGGCAGACTCAGCTCTGTAAGCATTATCTCAGGGTTTATTTACATTGATCATTGTTGGTTCCTTACTTTAATTTTATTTTAGTGTTCATTTTTAATAATAACAATATTATTATTTTATACTTTCTTGTTGGCTTTATTTTATCTATCATGTCTAAATATTTGTAGTACCCAGTGTGCTACAGAACTCCAGAAGATAAAATTTACATGAAACAGAATATGATGTGAATAGTCTTCTGGAGTCAAACCATTGCCTTCTCTAACTCTAACCTTCGTTTATAAAGAGAAAGACAGTTATACCTAGACTTTAAAATGTAATTATGGGCGACCAGGGATAGTTCAGTAGTAAAGCACCTGCCTTGCAATCAAGAGACTGGGAGTTTAATCTCCAACACCACTCCACGTGCCTGAGTGCAGTAACAGTGACTCTGCTATTGAGAGTCCCCAGTGCTACAGCAAAATGTGTTATCTCTGGCACACTACAACCAAGTATGTGACCTTCCCCATAAGCACTATAACCAAATCTCTGAACACTGAAGCCTCTCATCACTACAACAAAAAGGGAAGAGAAAGGTGAGGAAATAAAACAAACTTAAAGATAATATGTAGTTATTATATAATATGTAATTATGAAATTCTTTAAATAATGAGGGAACATGAGCTTATTATAATGTCCAGAAACAAGTTGGTTACAGTTTTTATACCTCCTTCTGTAATGAAATATTAGTTATTAGATCTCTAGAAATCAGATGTTGTAGGTTTTATCTCTATGTTTCACTGCTAAGACTTATAGCAGGCAGGATGTGCAAAAAAAATGAGCAAAAGTGAATTTCAAATCAAGACAATTTTTTTAAAAACCTCAAATTACTTTTTTTGAGTCTTATAGTTAGTACCATTCATAATATTAATCAGATTTGAAAATTAGAAACAAAATAAGAAAATATGTTGATACTTATCTGCCTGATAACCAAGAGGAGATACAAAGATGAAAGAGTCATTTCACAGTAAGTACTTACATTTATATTATCTCTTTCGTGATAATTTGTAGTAGAACATAAAAAATAGAACCCTGGAAATGAGTGAATTCATAAAGAATTTTTTTCTGGAAGAAAAACAAAATTGGCCCTTCTCCAATAATTAGAAAAGATTCTGAGACAACAAAATGTTTCCTCAGACATTTGTCTCTGGCAAAAGGGCCATACATGTTATGCCTACAGAAAACAAGACTTCATTCATAGGTAAATCAGAATATTAATAGCCTATAGATGTGCTTCACTTTCAGGGGTTTTTTTGGTGCTTAACATAATAGAATTACTTTAGAGACCTAGCTCATTCCAAAATTCTTGTGGTAGGACTGGAGTGATAGTACAACAGGTAAGGCACTTACTTACCATGCATGCAGTTGACCTGGGTTAAATCTCTGATGTGTCATATAGTCCTTCATGCACATCAGGAGTAAATTCTGAGGGCAGAGACAGGATTTACCCCTAAGCACTGCCAGCAGTGCCCCCCTAAAAAGCAAAAGACAGGGAAAAAAAACAGCAACAACAAAATGCTTGTGGTGATATGTATATCTTGCTTGATCCTAATAATCAAAAAGAAGGCTTTATGGACTACTCAAGTGGAGAAACTGAAAAATAAGAAGGAATTAAATCATGGTACCTCAATTAAAGTGGGAAAACAAGAGGAAATAAAAATGAATTGCCTTAAAGAAAATAAAAGTCATGGGGGTGGATCCGGCTCTTTCCTCCCCACTCCAATGAGACCCCAAGTTGCCGCCCATGAACCATCTCTCTGGCTCCTGATCAAGCTGCTTAACGGCCATGATCACAGAGACTCAGAAACAAATCTCAGAACCCAGTAGCTTTTGACAGAAATGTATCCGAACCCACACTAGGTTACTATCGCTGGGCCACCCCAGGGGGGAAAGGGTGCTGTCTCTCTGCATGTTCCCCCTAGGAGGCTCAGTGGCTGCCATCTTCAAGAGGCCATTGGACAGTAAGGTTTGGGTCCTCAGTGACAAGACACATGGGGCCTCATGGGATTGGGGTTGAGCCGGCCCTTTTCTCCCCACCCCAACGAGACCCCAAGTCATCACCCACAAACAGCCTCTCTGGCTCCTGATCAAGCTGTTTAATGGCCATGATCCCAGAGACTCAGAAGCAAATCTCGAAACCCAGCGGCTTTTGGCAGAAATGCATCCAGACCCTGCTGTAAGTTACTGTTGCCAGGCACCCCACGGGTAAAGGGTGATTTCCCTCCACCTGCTCCCCCTAGGTGGCTCAGTGACCACCATCCTCCAGAGGCCATTGGGCAGTCAGGTTTGGGCCCTCAGTGATGAGACACGCGGGGCCTCACGGGATGGGGGTGGAGCCAGCCCTTTCCTCCCTATCCCAACGAGACCCCAAGTTGCCGCCCACAAACGGCCTTTCTGGCTCCCAAGCTGTTTATCGGCCATGATCCCAGAGACTCAGGAACAAATCTCAGAACCCACCAGGTTTTGGAAGAAATCCCTCAAGATTTAAGTGTTAAAATTTCAGAATTTCAAAATCATGCGGCCACTACTGCAGCCACATGACATCAGATGTTATTGATAACCAGCAATAGAAAACAAATTGTCTACTGTTGCCTTTTCAGCAGATCTGAGTGTTGGGGTAGAATCCCAAATAATAATGGTGGGTCTGGTGTCAAAATATTGAATGTGATCAAAGTAGAGAGAGTAATGTGGAAATCATCTGCCCCCACAGGTAGGGGGAGGATGTGGGATGGTGGTTTACTGGGGTTGTTGGGGGTGAAGAAAGGGCACTGGTGAAGGTATGGGTGTTTCATTGTATGACCAAGACTTAAACCCTAAAGCTTTGTAACTGCTCTCACTGTGATTCAATAAATAAAATTATAAAAAATGAAAAAAAAGTAAGGTGGAATTCATGCCCAATTCAATCAGCTAATCTGTGGCTGAATAAATAGCAGTACTCCTACATAAAACAAACAAATAAATAAATGTCAATATTATTGTCAAATCTGCTCCAACGTCAAGATTGCTTTTTATGGGAAGTAAGGATTTAGAGTTCAGAAGTAACCTGATTTTAACTTAGGTAAATAAAATTAGCATAACCATATGAAAAGATTTTATGGGGAGGATATTTGTGTTGCATCATGTAGTATGTAAGAGTTATTTCCAACTGTGCTCAGGAGTCACTCCTAGTGGTCCTGAGGGGACCATGCAATGTTGGGCATAGATGATTGCTAGGCATGTGCTCCTGCCTGTTGAGCTGTTCAGGGGGATAAATCATGCCAGAGCAATAGTACAGTGCATAGGGCACTTGCCTTGCATACCATATGGTCCCACCAGGTGAGGCCTCCAAACAAAAACAAAACAAAAGATATATTGCTAAATTAAAATTTGAAATAGAAATAAGTTTGTATCTGTGTAGCTTTTAAACATATATGTTATATTTGATTACATGGATTGATATTTTCTAGAAGGAAATGCAAAAAATGCTAATAGCAGCTCTCTTTGAAAAATAAAACCTAAATATGGGTATTTTTTTCCTTTTCCTTATATGTTTTTCTTGATTATTTGAGCTTTTTGCCATGTGCATATATTATTTCTACCAAATGAATAATTATGTTTTTTTATATTTTCATAGAGTTTTAGAAAATTCAACCTGACATGCAGAGAAGTAGGCCCTATTCTTGATTGTAACTGGGATATGTCACAAACCAGTCTGGGCCTCTTCTGATACCTTAACTTTTTTTTTTTTTTTGCTTTTTGGGACACACCCAGCGATGCTCAGGAGTTACTCCTGGCTCATGCACTCAGGAATTGCTCCTGGCGGTGCTCAGGGGACCATATGGGGTGCTGGGAATCGAACCTGTGTTGGCCATGTTGGCTGCGTGCAAAGCAAATGCCCTACCCGCTGTGCTATCGCTCCAGCCCCTGATACCTTAACTTTTTCTCAGCTGTTTTTGTTTGTTTGTTCTTTCCTGATTTTTCAAAACTACATCAGAAACATTCTAAGACCAAGCATTTAAGAGTCATTTCTTACAGGATAATGCAAGAAAAGTGGATGAACATCCAAGTGGGAGATATAATAAAACTAGAAAATAATTCTCCTGTCCCAGTGAGTACCTTTCTGACTCTAGATTTTTCTTTTTCAGTTGGAATGAGTAGGGAATCCATTTAGCACTTCTGCTACTGATGCTTTTCGTAAACTTTATCTGACTTACTTTGCATATGGAGACAAACAGCTCCTATAATTAAAAAAAAGTCTGTTCCTATTCACCTCTTAACCATAGCTATAGTTAAATTATACTAGTTGGAGTTAATCAGAGGGAAAGAAACAACACTCAATGATCTCTCTCATATGTGTGATATAATGGTTCAATAAAGAATACCAAAGATAGTGGAAACAAAGAATACGAGAACTGGTATTCAGTAGGAAACATACCACCTCAGAGGGCTGGGGCATAGAACAGGGAGGAGGCAATGACCATGGTGGAGGAAAGTGTTCAGCTGGGAAGAGTTGGTGCTGAAAGGTGGTAAAGTGTTATATATGAAACCCTATCAACAAAAATATTGTAAGCCACAGCACAAAAAGTTTTATATATACATATATATATATTTTTTTTAAGTGCCCCTCGTAAAGGCATACTGATAGGTGTCAGGCAAATCAGAAAGGGTGGGCAATTGGTTGAGGGAAACAGGCACTGGTAAAGGAATTGGTGTTAAAACAATGTATGCCTGAATCCCAGTCATGATTAGTTTTATGATATCATGGTGATAGAAGTATTTTTAAAGAAATGAAAATAAATTGTAAATAGTTTATGGGAAGAGGTATTTATAGTAATGATGATGAATCCTAGAAAAGAAAATAAAATGTCTGTAAAGTTGTGAGGTTGAATATCAATTACTAGGAAATTGTTTTTATCACAACACCATGTTGAAAGTCTTTCTTTTCTTATCTTCTCTGACTTTTCTGACCACAGGCTGATATCCTTCTACTCTCTAGCAGTGAGCCCTATGGCCTGACGTACATAGAAACAGCAGAACTGGATGGGTGAGTATACCCTCCTGATAGTCATTAAGATAGTTGACTCAATTTAGAATGGTTTCCCACTAACATGACGCAGAGAATGAATTTTATTCCCAGATGGACATTGTGTGGTATGAACTGAAAACGCTAGAAATATCTGGATAAGAGAAAATAAGTCAGACTTTTAGGACCTCAAGTCTATGGCTGAGCTCTTGACATCAATAAATCGAGCATCTACTGGGTGCAAACTCAGCAAATATACTCCAGAGTCTACATCTCTAAACTTCAAACATTCTGGTTATATTCAATAGTGCTGAGTGGCAGGAAAGAGATTAATAGAACTTTAACATTTCAGAGTAGGGTCCCGATATTTAAGCGAGTGAGATGGACATAAGGAAATTATTTACTGACCAAATAATGTTTTCTGTAAAAGATTTTAGGTAGAAATGCATCAAACTATAATTCCCAAAAGGGGAGGGGGAGGAGAGAGAGAGAGAGAGAGAGAAGTACCTGCCATGGAGGCAGCTGGTGGTGGGGGGGTGCGGCAGGAGGGAAACTGAGGACAGCTGTTGGGGGAAATGTACACTGGTGAAGGGGCAGGTGTTGAAACATTGTATGTTTGAAACCCAACCAAGAACTTTGTAAATGTATATCAAAAAGTAAATTAAAAAGTCGAAATGCATTAACATGCAAGTACCAAGATCTTTTTTAAAAATTTCAATAAAAATTTTCACAGTAACTTATTACATTCATTATTCCAACATCAATCTCACCACCATTACACCTTCCCACCATCATTATTCCAAAAATTTCCACCACCCCCACCCTGTCCCCAAAGCAGGATCTAAATAATTTATTTTGTATTGCTTGTTATGAATAATCTGCTAAAAATGATCTTAAAAAGTTTCCTTAAGAGAAAGTGTGTTAAGATTGTTGTATCTCACCCTGGAGCCATTAAGTCCTTGTATAAGAGATTACTAATATGTTGTTACAGATTGACTCTGTGTGCAAAAAAAAAAATTTAATTAGGTCGACTGCCTTCTACTTTATACCCAATTAAATGTGGTGTGCTACTCTTGGCACATCAGTGGTGTCGAATCTGAGATGTCACATGGCTGCAAATTCTAAAATTTTATTGATTTTTTAAATTTTTTAAATTTAATTCTCATAGGTTGTTCACATTGATTACAACACCAATCTCACCACCATTACACCTTCCCACCACTATTACATCTTCCCAACAGCATTATTTCGAATTTTCTCACCACCATTCAAGCCTCTCTGCCACAGGCAGATTCTAGATAATTTATTTTCTACTGATTCTTATGAATATCATGAGATTTTGCGTGGTCACAAAAGCAGCTGCTCGCTCCTAAAATTCTAAATATGTAAATGATTGGGGTCCAGAGAGATCTCTGTAAGGAGCTAATCAGTTTTGAGATTCATTTGTGAGTCTCTGAATCAAGGCCAGTGGTGTGCTTAAATATGGCCCAGAGGCAGTTTGTGGGCACCAGGACCCCAAAGTGGCTGGGAGACAGGAAAGGATGAACCATCCCCACCACCATGTGGCCTGGCATCTTCAGAGCCTGTTCCTGCATACCTGGGATTTTCTTCTGAAAGTTTGTGGCCACCAGGGGTTCATCTGTAGTGGGTGGAGAGGGGACATCTGCTCCATGTGAGGAGCTCCAGTGAAATCAGTTTGGCATGGGGTCCGGAGAGATCTCTGGCGAGTTGCTGTCTTCCGGATTCACTGCTGCATCTCTTGAATTCTAAAATTTTAAATAGGGTGATACAGCGAGGGTTGGTTTTAACTGGATGGTGACTTTGGGATCCAAAGGAATCTCTGCAGCTTGTTGCTCTCTTCTGAGATTTATTTGTGAGTCTCTAGATAATGGCTGTTTATGAGCTTATAGGGTGCCAGAGGCAGTTTATGGGTGTGACTGCCAGAAGAATAGGGGGATGGGGAAGTCGCCCCCTGCTCCACAAGCGTTTTGAAATGAATATTCCTGTGCATACCTGTCTCAATAAATGGCTTGTTGACATGTCCATTTGCAGTGTGTGCAGGTTCTGGGAATCTGTTCCTTATTCTTGATGAAGGTTCCAGCTTCATGTTGTTTTTGTGACATCTCTTCAGTTTTCTCCAAAGCATGTGACCAGCAACATCTTGTGGGCTGATTGAATTATTGGTAGTGAATTAACAAGAAGTGAGAGCAGGGAAGAGAAGAGAGTGACTGGGTTAGCACTCAGCCTTCTTATAGCTTCTGCATATAGTACTATCCTTGAGAGAACCGCGGGAATGACTCTACCTACCTTTTATAGCTTAACCCTATATCACAATCTCTATTGGCAACATCCACTTTGTAAAATCCCAAGAAGTAAGGGAACGAGGACCTTTGCTGTGGTTGTGTGTGTGCCCTGTAATGATGACTGCATGTCCTTTACTCTAGCGAAACCAACCTGAAAGTGAGACAAGCCACCACAGTTACTACTGAACTGGAAGGAGACATGAAGCTGCTATCTGCCTTTGATGGTGAGTTTTAGGTAAAAAGTTTGCTCAACCAATTTTTTTTCTTAATAGAAAAATAGACTAGTTACCACCTCAGAGCTTATTGTACAGCCAGGTATGAGCCAGAATTGACGGGGCAACTGCAGCCTTATGGGATGGGGGTGCAGAACCAACTCGTCCTTCACGCCCCACCGAGGCCACGAGTTGCCCCCCACGACGGCTCTCCGGCACAGCCATGACACCAGATGCACAGGAACCAATATCGTAACTATCCGGCTCTTGGCAGAAATCCCTACAGAGTTAATTAGTAAAATATCAGAAATTCAAAATCGTGCGGCCACTATTGCGCATCATATGGTTTACATAGCCAGCAATAGAAAACAAATTATTTCACAATGCCTTTTCAGCAGTTCTGATTGTTGGGGGAAAACTCCAAACAATAATGATGTGTCTTTTGTGGAAATAATGAATGTAATCAAAGTAGAGAGAGAGTTAAGTAGAAATCATCTGCCTCACAGGCATTGGATGTGGGGGAGGTGAAAAATAATTACTGGCGAAGGGAAGGGTGTTTGATCATTGTATGATTGAGACTTAAATCTGAAAGTTTTGTAACTTTTCTCACAGTGATTCAATAAATAAATTTTACAAAAAAAGAAAAAATAGACTAGTTAAAATAAGTACTATCCAGACAGTGGATTCTATATAACCAACTAAAAATAACATGCAAGTTTATTGACCTAAAACTTATAGCATATTAATAAGAGGGCTCAGATTATAATAAATGATGCATGGTCTTTGTAATATACATTTGTTTTTGTAAACATGTTTATGAGTATATGTATGAGAAAAATTGGGGGGATATACTTCAAGAAAGTTAATAACAGTTTTAGTCAATGGGTGAGTTTTACTACTTAGCCTCCTAGTATATATAATTATGAAGAGCCTGTTTTACCTTACTAATTAGGATAAAGTCCAATTATTCTCATTTTGCAAATGGAAATAAGGTTTTCTTTAAGGCCCTCCCATTGATCGTCGATTTGCTCGAGCGGGCCCAGTAACGTCTCCATTGGAGACTTTGTTGTTACTGTGTCTGGCATATCGAATACTCTCGGTAGCTTGCCGGGCTCTCCGGGAGGGGCGGAGGAATCGAACTCGGGCCGGCCATGTTGGCCACTTGTAAGGAGAACGCCCTCTTTAAGATGCTTTAAAAAATTGTTTCCAATTTCAGAGCTCATATGACCTGGTAGTGATAAGTTGTCATGTTGATTTTTCTCTCCCTGCATGATACTTGAGACTTGCAGAGTTACTTTTTATTTTTGTCTGTCTAACTTGAAGAAACCAGGCAGGTGAAATTGGGAAGCTACTAATAGAGGATAGGAAAAATATGTATATTATTTTTGAAAAAAGGATGTTCTTTCCTTTTTATGTTAAGCTTCCTGTGGGGAAAAAGCCTGAAATTACAGTATCAGGATTCTTTATTTTTAATTTTTCTTCAGGTGAAGTGAGTTGTGAGGCTCCCAATAACAAGTTGGACAGATTCATGGGAACACTGAATTATAAGGGAAAGATCTACTACCTGGACTATGACAAAATGGTATTCCGAGGCTGCATCATCAGGAACACAAATTGGTGCTATGGCTTGGTGATTTTCACTGGTATGACTCCCCGGAGCAGAGCGTGTATATAAATTGCATGTATATGATACATACTTATGGTGTTTATGATATTGTGATTAGTAGGTCTATGATACATAAATGATGTGTAGGTATATCATAACCCTCTGATTTTGAGATAGCTAGAAAGGGAGGAGCCCAGGAATGTCATTCAATGGTAGAATATATTTCTTGAACATGTAAGACTCTGACTTAATCCCTGATACCACAAACTCACACACACACACGCATACACATATACACACATACACAAAGAGATAAGGAATGTAGTGTTGAATGAATGGATAGGTGAATATATGAATAATTTAAGAACAACATCTTATAAGAGCCAGGGAAATAACTCATAGGACTGAAATGCATACCTTGCATGCCAGAGACCCTGAGTTCAGTCCTCAGCAATTCATACCTCCTACTCTGCTCAATATGCAGTGTGTAGCTTTGGTGATCTCCAGTACCACTGGACCCAAGCACCATGCATCAACACCTGTCTGAGCACTAAATCAGTCAGCCAGGTTGGCCAAGTATCACAAGAAGAAGCCGTAGGACCCCCTGAGCATTGCTCAGGGACCCCCAAAAAGAAATAGTTTCTTTTTTTCTAAAAAAATGAACTGCCAGCATATCAACTCTCTGCCCTTGTTAGTGAAAGGTTTATGTTCTAAGACCATAAAGCATGCATGAGCCTTTCCAGTTATACCTGGTCACAAGAATAGTATATATGCATAAAGAAGAAAAATTAATTAACATATTAAAGGTGAATGTGTGGAAGGGGAGAGGAAACATGGAATTACATAAGAAAATGGTTACATAGATCATTATAGTGAATAATATGGAAAAAAACACGAAAGGTTCATGCCAGAGAAAAGGCACATCTGGAACATTAACAGTGGCCTCTCTTAAAATAGCATTTCAAACCATAATTCTTTCATTTTTTTATTTTATAAAGTAGTTCACAATATTTGATTGCATTTAATATTCAAACACTGATCCCACCACCATTACACCTTCTCACCACATTTCAGGTGTTGCCATCCCAAACCCCAATCCCTGCCCCAAAGCAGAACTGAAATAATATAATATTTCCCCTCTAAAGTTGTTTGCCTTCTGCTTTGAATCCCATCAAATGCAGTGCGATACTCTTAGAGTATGGGGTAGGGTGTGCAGTATGAAGTTTCACTGCCACGTGGTCCAGGAAAAAGTTCACTTGTGGGTGAGGCTCAGCCCAAGCATGTGAATAACGGTCGTGAGCAAGGCAGTGGTTGAGTTCTGGAGGTTTCCGGCTGCTGAGGTTTCCTATAGTATGTATAGGAATGGAAAGAGGCCAGAGAAATTGCTATTTACACTTTCTTCTAAACCTCTTAAATTTTCTCTGCAGCAACATCTTTGGTCAATAATTTCCAATACTCAATACACAGTATTGTGAAAACCTCTACTTTCTGCATGTCGTAAAGAAATGCAGAATCTCTGTCTCTCAGTCCCAGAGAAGTCTCAGCTTCCCTTGGGGGAGTCACTTCATTTTCATTTCCTTTTTCTCATTCTCATTTAGAAATTTTAAATGTAGCCTTATCAAGTAGTGAATTTTCTCAGAAGAAGCTAGAGTCTTTTTTTTAAGCCAAATAAACCAGCTGATAAACGAGGGAGAAGCTTGTGGTTCCTGTTTTGATTTAACTCTATGTAAAAGACTAGACTCCAAGATGCTACAAAGATAGGTCACTGTCACTGTCACTGTCCTCCCGTTGTTCATTGATTTGCTCGAGCGGGCCCAGTAACGACTCCATTTTGACACTTGTTACTGTGTTTGGTATATCGAATATGTCATGGGAGCTTTCCAGGCTTTGCCGCACCAGCGAGATACTCTCGGTAGCTTGCCAGGCTCTCCAAGAGGGGTGGAGGAATCGAATCTGGGTCGGCCAGTTCAACCACATGCAAGGCAAATGCCCTATCTGCTGTGCTATCACTCCAACCCACAAAGATAGGTATCAGCATTTATGTACTTTGCAATAATAGTAATTATTCCTAGAAGCATTTAAAGTTATTTGATTTATTGCCATCAACTATGAGCCTTTCCTCCAAGGTCTGGCATTGAAAATAATTAGGTAGCCACAAAGTCCATTTTGATTCAATTTCAAGACTATAGATATATTCAATAATTATAAAAGTTGATGTTTCCCTATTTTATTTAGGGCCAGACACTAAATTAATGCAGAATAGTGGAAGTTGCGCCTTTAAACGAACACACATGGACCATCTCATGAATACCCTTGTTCTCTGGGTAAGTTAAAGATTTTTTTCTGTCTCTTTATAAATAGATACATTTTCCTACCTCCATTGTAATCACTGGAATTTACAGTGATTAATTGTAAATTAGGTCTTGGAATTTAGGTCTTTCCTAAGTTTCAAGCAGTTTTAGGATGCCACATTCTATTGCTAAAGCAGGAAAGAACACAACCATTTTTTTTTTAATTTTTATTAGTGACAAACCATGAGGTACAGTTGTAGACTTACAAATTTTGTGTTTGGGTTTTAATTATACACTGATCAAATACCCATCCCTCCACCAGTGCCCATTTCCCACTACCACGGATTCCAGTATCCCTCCCACCCCCAATCCCCTTCATCCCACCCTGCCTCTGTGGCAGGGCATTCCCTTTTGTTCTCTCTCTCCTTTTGGGTGTTGTGATTTGCAAAAGAGGTATTGAATGGCACTCACGTTTGGTCTATAGTCTACTTTCAGCATGTGTCTCCCATTCTGGGAGGATCCTCCCAACACCCTTTATTTGGTGCTCCCTTCTCTGAGCTGCCTTTTCCCCTAGCATGTGTGGCTGGCCTCCAAGCCATGAGCAATATTCCTGGTACTAATCTTGGCCATTCTTGGGTGTTAGTCTCCTATTTTGTTACTTTATGTTCCCCAGATGAATGCAATCTTTCTATGTCTATTCCTCTCTTTCTGACTCATTTCACTTAACATACTTTCCATGTAGTACCACTTCTATGTAAATTTCATGACTTCATCTTTTCTAACGGCTACATAGTACACCATTGGAACACAGCTATTTATAAGGGAATCTTTATACCTCTCTTACAAAGACTACTTACAGTTTAAAATTTAGTGCATTGATTAGTGACAGCATAATGGAGCAAGGATGCCTGCTTTATTTTTATTTTGGTCTTTTTTTCAATTGAATCACCATAAGATACACAGTTACAAAGTTGTTTATGATTGAGTTTCTCATAGAATGTTTCAATACCCATCCTTTCACCAGTGTACATTTCCCATCAGCAGTGTCCTCAGTTTCCCTTCCTTATTTTTTATTATTTGGGTTGCTGGGGGTGGGGATGGGCCAAACCCAGCTATATTCAGGACTTACTGCTAGCTCTATGCTCAGGAATCACTCCTGACAGTGTTTGGGGGGACCACATGCAATACTAGGGATTAAAGTTGTGTCAGTCTAGGGACTGGAGAGATAGAGTAGAGGGTGGGGTACTTTCCTTGCATGAGACAGACTTGGTTCAATTCCATCATCCCATATGATCCCCCAAGCACTGTCAGGAATGATTCCTGAGTGCAGAGCCAGGGGTGACCCCTGAGTATCACCTAGTGCAGCCACAAAACAAAACAAACAAAATGTAGGTCAGTCTCATACAAGCACCTTGCCCCCTGTTCTATCCAGTCCCAAGGATCCTGCTTTAGAAATTAAGACACATTTGTATTTTATCATAACTAGTTTTACTCATGACCACTTGAATAAGACCTTAATAAACTAGTCACAATTAACCATATTAACACCTTACTTAAGTAGATTATTTTCTAGCTCCATTTTCTTAGAGGAACATAAGGTCTACTTTAGGAAGAATAGAGGAAATTAAATGAGCTTTGTTCTGGTCTCCTCATTCTTATGTTACTGCTTCCAAAAGAGAAGTTTCCCTTTTACATGTCCTATGAGATTTCACTTGGAAAATAACATTTTCAGCTGCTAAGAAATGAAAATGTAAAAGCACTATAACAGATAATAATCCATTTTGATAAGTTTAAAATGAACAATAATTATTTCCATCCAAACATATAGCTATTCCCTTTATTTTTTTAGATATGAATGATTTGTTTCTTCAGTTCTTTGTATAACCAAGCAGTTTCATGCCTCCAAATTCAAAATTTTATGAATTTTTTATACCAAAATTTTTAATTTATTCATTGTATTTCCCAGGGGAAAAGAAAGGAAATGGGAAAAGAATCAGCATGTATGTAACAAAATGATAGCAAATGAGAAAGGAAGTAACAAATACAGCAACACTAGCCATCAAATAATTATTTCTCAATAATGGAGTCACCAAAGCCCATGGGCTTCAGTCTCCTGTAGTTAAGGGCTGAGAGACGGGGATCAGGAGAGAAAAGACGTATATGCTTCCTTTCTCTCCTGCCCTCTCTCTCCCCATAAAATTTTATGACTTTTTAAATCATAACCTCCCATCTTATCTACACCCTCCTCCTCAGGTAACTTTAGTTCTAATATCACTGTCCACAGCTTTCTATTTTTTCTATCCTTATATTGAACATATAAATGACATCATCCAGTATTTATCCTTTTCATTCATACTTGTTTCACTTCATTTAATTCCCTTCCACTTTGCTGCAATTGCAAAATTTTTATCTTTTTATAGTCAAATAGTATTCCATAGTACCACATCATCATCCAATCATTTATCAATAGCACTTCAATTGCTTTCATCTGTCACTGTCACTGTCACTGTCCTCCTGTTCATCAATTTGCTCGAGCAGGCCCAGTAACATTGTGAAACTTGTTGTTACTGTGTTTAGCATATCGAATACATATTTTCACTATTATTTGTACTCTTTGAATTTATATCCAAAAGTGTGATTGCTGGATTCTATGACAGTTTTATCCTTAGCTTCTTGAGGAATTTTTCATAGCATTTCCCAAAATGATTGCACCAATGTATGTTCCTATCCCAACAGAGGGCAAGAGTTTCCAGCACTTGTTGCTGCTCTTGAGGCAACCCATTCTACAGATGTGAGATATTTTGTGGTTTTATTTTGCATTTCTTTGATGATCAGTTATGTAAGCATGCCAGCCATCTATATATCGTCTTTAGACAAGTCTTTATTCCATTTTTCTGCTGTTTTAAAAATTGGGTTGCTTGGTTTTTGTTGTTAGCCATGAGTTTTCATTTTCTCTATCCCTTAGACTGAAAATTAAAAAGTATCTTTTCTTTACATGTTCTTTCTTTCAATTGTTAATATGTGAACTATTAATTGCCTGTTCTCCATTATTTATCATGGAGAAGGTCAAATTTCTTTTTCTAAATATTTTTAAGTTTAATAAATAGGGTTTTAGAAAATTAGGAATGTTCATTTAGCTTGAGACAAGAAAGGACCCGCTATCTACTACCAACTATTGCTGTTAGAACCAGGTGACATTCCTAATTTATTGTTCTTTGTCGACCACACTGGTGATGCTCAGGTGAGGTTTCTGGCTCTGAATCACTCCTGGCAGTGCTCAAGGGACCATATGGGATTCTGGGGATCAAACCTGGGTCAACCATGTGCAAGGCAAATTTCCTACCTGCTGTACCATCATCATTCCAACCCCCCAGATTTGTTTCCCATAGATGCTGAAGACCATCAGGGGCTATACCTATCAATTCTTGGATGGCCAATTGATGCGGGGAATTAAACCTGAATCTCTGTGCATACCAGCTGGCTCCTCAGCTTGCAAGTTTCTTAATGAGGCAGGCAGTCACAGTTGAAGGCTGATACAAGTAGACAAATAGACCTTTGATGATACTAGGATAGTAATATTGGGTAGCAATGTGGGCCATTTAACCTAAGCTTGACTTCAAAATACTATTTCTTCCATATGCCTGAGAAGGTTCAGTTACTTGTTTATCTAGGTGAAGGGCAGTGATAATATTTGACATCCAGAGAAGTATTTTGGGGGGAATAGAGTGTGTCATACCCCACCTAACTCAGGACTTACTTCTGGCTCTACACTCAGGGATCATTCCTGGAAGAACTCAAAGGCCCATATGAGTTCTGGGGATTGAATCCTTATTGGCTGAGTGCAAGGCAAACACTCTACCCACTAAATTATCACTCCAGCCCCCAGAGAGGGATTTTAATTGTTGAGAATATTTTCACATAATTCACTTACTGCAACTTTGCTATATCTATGAACATAAAGGAAGTCAAGAAGTTTTCCTAACTTCTTGATAAATTTGCAAAACTGAATCATAGGAAAGAGAAATGCACCCAAAAGGAGAGAGAGAACACAGGGGATTTCCCTGCCACAGAGACAGGGGGGATGGGGGATGGGGGTGGGAGGGATATTATCCATGGTGGTGGAAAATGGGCACTGGTGGAGGGATGGGTATCTGATCATTGTATAATTGAAACCAAAGCACAAAAAATTGTAAATCTACAACTTTAAAAAAAATAAAATAAAATAAAGGGGAAAAAAATCAGAACAAGGACATAGTCTAATGGAAAATCAGGGGGAGGCCACAAAGCTTTTAACTGTGTAAAGCCAAGTGCATTCAAAGGTAGGCTTTGAGGGCAAAGGAGCAGTGGAACTTTCTTGTCAGAGTTTTTCAGCATCACTTCCTAATTAGCTGAGTGTTGGTACCCAGAGGAAGCAATTTTCAAAATGAGTCTGAAAGCTAAGGTGACCCCCCCCATATGGTTGAGAAAAATTTGGAAATAGAATGTTACCTGTCCACTATTGCTGTCACTTAAAATGGTTAACTAGGTTATATTTCCAATAACATGTATAAAGCTGTCTCATATTTAAAAAAAAAAAAAAGAAAGAGAAAGAGAAATGTCAGAAGTAAAACCCCACAATAATATCATGTTGAAGAGAATTCTATGACTCATTAACTCAGCAAGACTTACTTGTTGAGTGTATATATCATGTGCCCATTTTGTGTCAGATATTATGACAATCACCAATAATATATAAGAACTGGGTATAGCACTCAAGTGGGTAAGTCTGTTTGGTCTATTTGAGCAAAATTCAAGCATCAATACCAGTCAGATGTTTTGTGTTTGTATATATACTTTTATTTATTAATCACTTATATTTGCTATATAGTCAAATTTTTCAATGTTTTTTATTGATAGATTATTTTCTCTCTGGGGAGACAGAATTAAAATGCATTACTGGGCTAGAGCGATAGCACAGCAGTAGGGCATTTGGCATTTACCAGCCCAGATGACCCGGGTTCGATTCCTCCGTCCCTCTCAGAGAGCCTGGCAAG